GTAAATTCTGCTCCATCTGAAAGCACGTGATGATGATTTCCTGCTGATTACAGAACCGGCTTTTTTAACAAAATGAGCATGACAATCGCATTCGATTAATCGTGCAGCCCTAAACAGGGCTCAACAATAAGATTTTATTCTGCTTGCAAGGCTTCAATAACTTGCAAAAAAAACAGATGTTTATATATGTATTTACATCAACAGGCTTAAAGCACTCACTCTGTGCTGGACCATCCTTATTAATGAGCCTTATAAAACATGACAACAACTCTAACCTGCGTCTATGGCGGCGGTCCTTGCTGTCACTGCGGCGTTCCCTACTTCTCCTCTCTCTGCTTCTCCTTTTCCTCTCTCGACTGCGGCTGCGTGATGGGCTGCGTCGCCGGTGACGGTTCTCTTTGTCCCGCTCTGAGACAGAATGAAGACAAACATGCAAAACATGAGCATGCAAAAACATGAGACAAAGCTGCAGGTTCCTGAAACAAACAGGAGAAAGGAAAGAAAAGGAAAAAGAAGAAGCAGAACAATTCAGCTGCAGAATTAAAGAAAGTAGTGAGATATTACGCAGCTTTTCAGTTTTCACAGTGAGTATCTGGCGGAAAAAAGGAAGATTAGATGGAAAGGACAGGTTGTGCATGCTTTTCTGCACCTCATTCTGGGATACCCACCATGACTTTTTAGACTGTCACCTGTACGGAAGAGAACGAGAGAGGTTAAATCAAGTCATTTTAATCTATATAGGACTTTATATAATACAGATTGTTTCAAAGCAAATTCACGATAATAAACAGGAAAACAACAGAATAAATGCTGCGAACTGGAGGGAAAGAGGAAGTTGCAAAAAAACGTTTGCAACTTATAGCAAACGTCTTAAGTCCTACAAACAGAATACAAAATGTGTTACTAATGACAGGTGATCTGACAACAATACTAAAGACACAAGCCTAAAGTTACAAAAAGACAAAGCTTTAAATGACATGTAATTTCTAGGACAGTTATCACAAAAAGTCACATGAGCTGAAGTTTCACATATAAAACCCTCTCAGTACTTATTGTAAATGTATGTTTTTAAAAATTCAAATGTGACTACAAAACATTATAACAATATAAGATTTTTTATAAGTACATTAAGCTGTTGTTGACACCTTTATATCCAAACAACTGTGCATAATTTAAATAAAATAACAAGTATTCACTCAGTAAATATCAGCAATAAACAACTCTTAAATGTTTATGCATATTTACAGCTTTTTAGATCTCTTTTCTTTATAGGTTAAGCATAAGACAACAATATACTTCAAGTGTAGAATGAGTTTCATTGCCGTAAGCATCAATATGTGACTATTTATACTGACAACAGACACCATGTTTAGTTATTACGATGTTATGCAAGTGATTACTGTTCAGGCCAGTCAATAATGAACATTTATACTCACCTTGTTTGTTTTCAGAAAGCTCTCTCTCAAATTCATCAAAATCAGACATTCTGGCGTTTTGATCTGAAGCAGAAACTCCAGTTAACACGCTCTTTCCCTTATAAATAGCTTTCTCAGTCAACCGCAATTTCAAGGGACGGACTATAAAAATATAGATGTTTTAAAATGTAACACCAGCATATAGAGTTTTCCGAGACACGTAAATTTCGTGCAGAGGGAAATAAACGCTTTGCTTCAGATGGTTGTTAGCTGCTAATGCTAACTTCAACCGGTGCAGGATGCAGGAAAATAAAAGGTTCGCGTCGGCAAAATAGATGATTAAATCGCTTATATGTAATGATTTGCTCTTTGGATATATTCCCTGATAGTCAAATGCTGTTATCTGTCGTTATTGGCTCTGCTGAAGTCTAGCCAGTCTCGACCAAAGAAGCTAACCGTTTACTCCGCGTTGGCGGATGCGCTGACCGTTTCTTCACCGCACAAAAGTCACTCTGAACAAAAGCTTTACCGCCGTGCGTCCCCTATAGGCCTGGAGGGAAGCGTTTTTCAATTTCTGTCCACTTGTCATCCACAAGTCATTTGTGACCCTGGACCACAAAACCAGTCATAAGGGTCAAGCTTCATCTGAAAGCTGAATAAATAAGCTTTCCATTGATGTATGGTTTGTTATGATAGGACAATATTTGACCGAGATACAACTATTTGAAAATCTGGAATCTGAGGGTGCAAAAAAATCTAAATATTGAGAAAATCGCCTTTAAAGTTGTCCAAATGAAGTTCTTAGCAATGCATATTACTGATCAAAAATTAAGTTTTGATATATTTACAGTAGGAAATTTACAAAATATCTTCAATGAGCATGATCTTTACTTAATGTCCTAATGATTTTTGGCATAAAAGAAAAATCTATAATTTTGACCCATACAATGTATTTTTGGCTATTGCTACATATATACCCAGCGACTTAAGACTGCTTTTGTGGTTCAGGGTCACATTTTAGATTTGATTATTTGTCCCTATTTAAAAACAATATAGTGGAGTTCATGTTGAAAATGACTGAATGCTCTTCCATACTGTGTTGGAGATGTGTTTAATAACAGTATGGTTTTGAAATGAATAGTCATAATCCAATAGGAAAAATAATAGGTAACCACAATAACAAAAACGTCAGTCAAGCCTTTCAAATGACATTGCAATGTAGAAACACAATTTTAGCATTATACTTAATCTTATAGGCATACCATGAACTAGTAAGGAATGTGGTGAACAACATTTTCTCGTAAATAATATTTTTAATCAAACAACCTCAAAGTTTTGACTTTTGCTGGTAACCTCCTGAGTAGGACTGGCACACAAAGCATGCAAAAAAACAATATCTCCAATATCACACATTTTGAATTCATATACAATTTATTTTCCCCTTTGTCAATAACAACAAAGTACTTAAATAGTCCCATATTACAACTAATTGTATTTTTTTAAACAAAGGCTTCATTTGTGGAGTCTGAGATGATTTGAAAGAATAACACTTCACTGGTGTGCCACAGTCATTTACTGAGACAGCAGTACACTTCAAACTTAGAGATTTCAAAAATATACAGATAAACACAGTAACTACTTCTCTTTGTTCGTTGAGTTTCTCTCACTAGTTTTTGAATGGAAAATAACTGCAGCTTGTTACAGCCAAGGCCACTAATTAAAGAACAAGTTGCTCCTTTATTATTTCACAGCTAATTTAGAAAGTTTCGAAACTCTGAAGATGATAGTAGCAAGCCGAGAACTTTACTGTCATTCAGTAATCTTTAGTCTGACTCAAATCATCCAAATGTGATCACAAAAGTAGTACCTTGCGTGATCCCCAAATTATGAACTCAAACAAGACAAAGTCCCTTTCATTGAAGGACAGAGTTTCCAAACTTTACAGTAAGTAACTTAAGCATATCTACAAAATAAGAAAAGGTAACTCTTCACATACAGTGGCTGACTGTTTATCTCACAAATGTTCTTCTCCCTTTATGTTGGGTCAACAAGCCATTCTTGGAATCTACACATTTTGAAGAAGTTGGCACAGAGTTGGGATTTGAACAGTTTTTTACTCCAAATGTGTAGATCTAGAATTGAGGTAGAAAAAAAAAAAAAAGCCCATGAAAGGTCAATGAATGGACTCCATAGTATCTAAACCACTGTGTCAATAGTGCTGGCTCCCCCCCCCAAAAAAAAGGAATACATTTGTGGAAATTTAGTGTCTGAACCTGTATGAAATGGGCAGCAAGAGGTTGTTCTTCTTCAAGGCCTGCACCTTAGCATGAGCGTTCTCGTCAAGAGCTTTATAGCAGCGTCTTGCATAATCCAGAAGCTTTTCCTTGGAGGAATCAAACTCGCCAACTTCAGATACCTTCTCAGGAGCAACCAAAAGCATTTCAGCAATAGGAGTGGTGGAGGCGACGGTGTTTCGGTCAACCCCATGGACCTGGAATGCTCTTGACATGCTCTTCAACTTTTGATAGGTGACAAGGATCTTATTGTAACGAAGTAGAACACCTGCAGAGTCTTTAACTGTGTACAAAATTAGTTATTAGATATTTATTAAATATAGAGAGTTGCTTTGAAATATATAGAAACTGAAAACAACAACTCACCTCTTTGTCTTTCCATGCTTCGAGCAATACGGAAAACACGTCGTCTTTTCACCCTTGTCTGGCCATTCTGCCTTCCTGAACGGCTCTTACGTGAGCTTTTACTATCTGAATCATCGCCATCATCATCTGTAACAACCTGCTCCTCTTCCACAAAGTCTTCTTCTGCTATATACTCTTCCTCCTCAATCACCTCCTCGTCTTCTTGACCTGAGGTGAATAAAAAGTAAAAAAATAAAAATAAAATTTCATTGCAGATCAGTTTTTATTATAGGGTTATTATTGTTGACTAAAGTAAAACTAAAACAAAACAAAAAAAAAACATTTTCATTACTTGAAATAAAATAAACATGAACTGAAATAAAAATATTTTAAAAATATTTTTATTTCAGCCATGGTAACATTTCTTGTTTTCATTAAGATTAAGTTAAACTACTAAAATAACTAAAACCAAATAAACTAAAGCTTAATAGATATATTAAACTACATAGATAATCATTTTTGAAAAGAATGAAAATAACAAAACAAAATAGTTTTGTTCAATTCAAATATGAAAATATAAAAATAAAATCTAATGCAGAATACTACCAAAACTATATTATTAATGATATTAAAATAATACTGTTTTAGATAAAGAATGCAATAGTGAGATTGGTGCAACAGAAGAAAGTAGGTCTAAAAACAACAACAACAACAACAACAAAAACTAATTAGCTCTTATTTCTGCTGCGCTTCTGGTTGTGTTGTGCGATTTTTCCAGAGCGTGTCATCATGGATGATGGGGAAGGAATAGCGGTCTTCCGGGTGGGCTGCTTCAGAGTGGTGGCTTGAGGCTCAGCTTCTGCTTCAATTTCTTAAATTAAATAAAGATAACACTTCATAAAATTGGATTATTACATTACAAGACACTACTTTGCACAAGTGTACCTTTTCCTGTCATGCCATTGCTCTCCTGACTCTTGGTGGTGAAAATAAATCTGTCAAGTTGGCAGCGCAGGAAGTCCCTCTCCTCCTCCAGATCTTCGATGCGTTTTTGAAGCCAGGAGTTTTTTTCCAGAGAAATCTGCAGTTGTGCTCGGAGGCTGATAATCAGAAGGTATGGACTGCAAGGAGGAATCTGACCTGACACCGACTCTGCAGGAGCATTTAAACATACTACAGTGTAGATCTCAATCGTGATAATCAAACATGTTACAATGTGGCTGGAGTAAATACCATCGAAGGTGTGGTCGTTTTGATTATAGAAACCAGACTCATCCAGGCTGTTGTCCTCAAAGGGGATGGAAATTTCATACCCATCTTCATTCTTCAAACCTGTCACCAGGAAAAAGACAAATCTGCCTTGGATGGGTGCTGGTTTTAGGTCCAAACTGGCTTTTTGCTGGTCCAAAGTGGTAGACCACCTTAAACCTAAATTTTAAGGTCTCTAAATGATCAACACAATCAAAACCTTGCAGAAAAAGGTTTTTTAGTATAATCTGACAATTCACCTTGAGGTTGTGGTCTGTTTATCTTTATGCAAGTAAGAATAACTTTCATATTGTTGGTAATATTTCAACATGAACATTTACTGGCCTGAAGAAACTGAAATTATCCATATCCATTATCTTTTAGAAAAATTATGTTAAAGTGTGATAAGTTCAAATATGATACAACATGTTTTTTTTGAGGAATGTTTACTTGTACAGCATTTAAATATAATTTTAAGAGATACTAATGAGAGATATAGTGACAACGGATATTTATATACATTTTATGTAAGTAGTCTGTTATACAGTTTTGGCAGATTTACATAAACTATTAGAATTGCAAATTTTTGCTCAGTTTGGGCCTCTGAATAATTTTGAAGTGCTTTTCCTCCTTGAGTGTGAGCTCTATGAGCCATAAAAGCCTGACGTATCATAAGAAATATTTGCAAACTTATATATATATATATATATATTTTGTCAAAAGTTTAAAAATAAATCGTTTCATTTCAAAGATTTTTCCGTCTATAATCTCATGTCATGCTTTACCACAGTAAACCAGCAAACAAATCCAACTTAGACTAACTAGAAATATCCCAAAATCGCCTTCAAACAATATTTCTCAAATACGATAGGATTTTATCCAGTTTAAACTAGACGTTTCGAATGGAATAAAGTCTGACCTCTACAGCTCCTCGTGCTTCTCTGAGCATCAGTCATCATGATTTCGGTAACATCGATCAGGCTGATATTCACAAATCTACAACAAAACATAAATTCTCTCAAAACACGAATCCAACTGATAACTAAACTAAACCGATACAAAACTTTGGAGCGAATGCATGACACAGAGCAGGGCGTGATGCAATTGATAACAATCAAGGACGACTATAAGTAGTTAATTAGTCGTTAACATTAACAAGTTGTTAATTAAACATTAGTTAATTGTGTGTGTCTCCCCGTCCTGTCAAACAGGGGAACGAATGATTGTTCAGCACGGACTGGCGCTCTCTCTGGCAGCGGCAGGGCGCAGCGCCACTTCCGGTGGCATCCCCAGATGCCACGGCAGCTGCCAGAGTTCGTGGCAGCTGCCACGGTCTTTCTCCTCGCCGTTTCTGCTGTTTGCTCGGTAAAACTACACTGTTCTCAGTGGCGTGCGGTGATGTTTTTTTTTTTAATGATGATGCAAAGTTCTCACAATTGTATTATTATTATTATTATTATTATTATTATACATTTTGTATCAGTTGCCATAGTTCTTGCCAGGAGTCAAAGGCAGCTGCCACGAACTCTTTCTCAAGAAAGAAAGTCGTATACATCTGGAATGGCATGAAGGTGAGTAAATTAGAGAATTTTCATTTTTTGGGGTGGAATATTCCTGTAAAGACTGATATTGCACTCCATTACATAACATACTCATTCACTGTTTTGTAACTTATACTGTAACATGAACTGCTGAAAGGATCATTGCAGTTTAAAACACATTATGAATTGTGAACATATTCTGTATATTATGTTCTTGTGCATTTTCTGATAACAAGTAAAGCGTGCGAGTATACTTAAATCAGCTTTGTAATATTAATTCGCATCAAATCGTTCCACTAAACTGCATGAGGCATTTACTGCACGCATTTATAAGAGCTAATAAACTTACAGATGGAACTTGAAGGACCTCATTAGCCAAGCCTCAAAAGGAATTGCAGCGTGTTGATTGGCTTTTGATTGTTGTTGTGCTCCTGTGTCGATCGCTGCATCATGAGGGTTGACTGACTGAACGACAGTCTGCAGAACGAGATTATCCGGGTCATTTAGAAATCATACGTCATATACGGCGCGCTTTTAAATATCTAAGTAAAAAAAATCAAGTGCATGTAACTTGTTTTTTTTCTGTCATTAAATTATGTTTTTAGATACTTTAAAATAAATGAATCAATAAGTGTTTATTTTTATTTTTACAAAGTAGCACGTTTACTTAATTATACCCCTACAATTTAATCTAAAAATGTCCAATTTTTATTAATTATGTTATGATATTCAAACAGCAATATCTTTTACTGTAAAAAGAAAGATCAGTTTTCAGGATTTTATTTACTTTCATTGGTAATTTTGCAAGTACAGCTATGATTACACAAGAGACGTTGCAGTACTTCACAATTTGCATTTCACAGTTTGCATCAAGTTTATTTTTTATATTATTAAATATGTTATTATGTAAAATAGATCTGCCCCAATTGATGTCTATGTCTTAAAAGAACAAGAATGATAATATGATATATATACATATCCTTGATATAGATCAAATTTATGCCAGAGAGCCTACAATAAAACAAAAAAAAATTCCCCCAATTATTGTTACAGCTACTGTACATTCATAATACATAAAATAAGACCCCAGTCAAACAGTGTAAGATGTCTTTGATTAATTTTGATGATATGATGACAGAGTAATAACTGTTTTAGCTATTTTCACGGAAAATTGGTTACCATGGTAACTTGTTTGCAAGAGCAGCATTCCGGTGGTGTCAAATATCAACACGTCTGGGCGGCTCCGGAAACAGCTTCAGACAGGTTTAGTTCATACCTGACGCAACCATGCCTGCAAAAGCGATGAAATATTTAATATTCGTGAAGTGAAGATACGAAAATAAAGGTCAGTATATTTAATAATGCATTTTAGATCGATAAACCCCTAACGCCTTCGTGTTTTTGTGTGAAGATAAGACTTGTCTATTGTTTGAGTGTTGACGCTCGCACATGGTCTTTCTGAGCACATAAAACAATATAAAATAAAGTTGGTGTAGTTATGCTGATCGATCTAACGTTTAAAGTTACTTTACTTTCACATGTGGCTTCAAGTCCCATATTTTACGAATGGCCCAACAGAGTAACAAAATCGTTGTGGATTTTGCTTCATTTTTTACTATTTGCATTGTGCGTTTTTACACTGTTTTATACATAGTTCATGAATGCATTAATTTTTGCTACATATTTTGTCTACATATCTGCTACAAAAAACCTATTTTATTATCTGTTTGTCCCCAACAGTTAGCATGGTGTGTGCTGGTTTGAAACACTGCAAAGTGGCCCTGGGCTTTGCTGTTATTTTTGACATTTTTGGCTTTACGGCCCTGTTTCTGGGGCTCTTTGCACCACTGGAAATGAAGGGGAGAGATTTCGGGGACCTTCTTGTCTACACTGGGGCTGTCTTGGTACTGATATCTCTTGGCGGTTGGGTCATGTGGTACAGCGGCAACATTGAGGGTATGCCAACACAAAAGGATCTGAGCGGAATCGGCAATGCTGTGGATCGCTTGGCCCGCAACCTCAGCAGGAAAATATATACACATCGTGTCCACAGAGGGCCCTGACTTTTCGACGGTGATGCTGTTAGCTGTTTTGTTTCTAATTTCTATTTTCTTTTAATAAAAAAAGACAGTGACTCATTTTTGTGCCTGACAGATTTAAATATGGAGATTTAAAGGGGAAAATAGTATTGTTAAATTAAGTATTCTGACCTTACACCCTGCTTAGGTAAACTGCCTGGAAAAAGACTGTAATAGATATTTCAATAACTCTGTTGTACTTTTTTAATATAAAGATTAGATTTAATACAATACTACTATTGTAGTTTGTTCCGTTACTGTAACAAGTCATTAAGAACTTTACTAAACAAAATTGTTACAAATTTACTGTAATGTAGTGCAATGTATTTTATTTTTATTTTATTTTTTTGCTGTTGTTTTTGTCAACTTATGGCCAAAAGCAGTGTTTATTCTCTGTAAAGTGTGTTTTAGTTCTTATTTTTTCTTTTTAGTTATCAAGAAATGGTTGCATTGGACATGTACGCAAAATGTGTATGATCTTGATTGATATTTGGTAAATTGTCAGTATTGTTTTATATTAAATTAACATGTTCAAGTGGCTAGAAAATTTTGTTCCACCAATCAGAGAACATTTGCAGTACTTCATATGATCTCTAGATGGAGACAGATTTTTACATGAATAAAAATGACATTTTTGACAAATTAAAAAGGTGTTTTTTAAAATAAATGTTTTAAAATATGTATAATATGTATCCTTTACGTTGCTCTTTGCTACAGATGTGACAGTTCTGTACATAAGTTGTGAAATTAGCAAGAAAAAAAGGTTAAAAAGTGTGATAAATATAAAACTGCATTATTATTGTTATTGTTCTTGAAATATCTTAAACCCTGAATATTGTGTTTTTCTAAGTAGATCAGCTTCTCTGCCTCTTCTAAAAGTGCCTCCAGTAAACAAAAAAAGAAGCTTACGGATAGTCTAAGACTTAAAAAACTGGGCTTTATTTAGCTCTAGGTTCTTTTCCTGTTTTAAACTTGATCTCTGAGGGCTTTTCTCGTTTTAAGCCGTCTAATGGGATTGGGACTTATTAGCACACGTGGTCTAAAATTGACATATTCTGTGTGGTACAGACTGAAGTGCGTAAGGGAAATTGGCACTTGATGTGAGAAAAGTAGGCCTACAATGTGGAAAAAGAACAATGTTAGATACAAATCAATGGTAGTTATGCAATTCTAAATCAATAAATTGGTGTCATATAAGAGAAAGCAAATTGTGAAAAAAAGCTTAAAGTAGTTATTTATAAATAAGGTGGATCCCAAAGGTCAGATAACCACCTCCTTTCAAAAAGATTCAGATCTGTGAGATTAAACATCTTGAAAATCTTTTGGACAGATTATTATTTACACCTGTTTTTGAGGCAAACACCTTAGTGGAGAACCTACTGCATGGTATACCACTCTGGAAGGAAACCCTACTTGCTATTCTTTATTTCTATAGGGTTAAAAATATTCCATGATGCTTGCAAATTAATATGAGCTCATGAAAATGGTTTGCACAATATTTATAACAATTGTAAAATGCTGTTAGTCTTAGACTGACTTCAGTATTTCACATGAAATACATTTCGTAGAGATTCAGCTATTTTGACAGTTTCTATCAATTTGACAAAAAAAAAGATTGTTAATGCCTAATTTAAAACCATAACAATGTCTTTATCAATGCATTTGTATTCAACCACTTAATAAGTTATTCTAAGAAAAAATTATCAAGCAATCTTTTTTTTATGGAAAGATGATGAACTACAAGCCATCAATTTGTCACTGACTACATGACATTTAACTATTTAAATGTTAGATATTTTATTTAAAGATGCAGTCCGTAACTTTTGGCGCTCTTGCGGTTAATAAACAGAACTGCGTGCGTCTTGCGGAAGAACATTGTAGCCGGAGCTACTTCTCTCTGTTTATGTCTATGACGAATCACGCAGGTACTGGGCTACTCCGCTGCGGTACCTACCCGAACCAGTCTAAAATAGTCCGAATACAAACACTTATTATAGGTGTACCTTAGTGATTCAGGACAAGCCAAAAACACGGTGTGGAAAATTGATTCATGGTTTACTCGCTTATTGTATAAATTATGTAAAATTTGAACACAAAAAAGTTACGGACTGCAGCTTTAATTTGTGATATTTTATTAAATATAAAAAATACAGAAATCTGGGATTTAATTTTATTTTAAATTGACATTATGTTTGGGTTTGCACTTAATCAAGCATAGGAAGATGTAAATAAATGGATACCAGTCATTAAAGACCAGTGCACAGAAGCTTGGCTTTCCTTTGATGTCACCTGTTATGATTCTTTCCCTCCTTGTTCACTCTTTCCAACGTGTTTATTTCTGTGTTCTCTCTCTCATTATAGATGAAGGGATTGTCTGGTGCAGGGACATTATCGTGGGCAGGACAAGGTAGACTAGGGACAGTAAGCTGCTCAGAAGAAGACTATCAGGATGTATTTATGACCCAGAGAAAATCCAACACTTAAAAAGGTGGAAAGGTAAACAACAAAATCTCTCTCATTATAGATGAAGGGATTGGCTGGTGCAGGGACATTATCGTGGGCAGGACAAGGTAGACTAGGG